GGATAAGAACTTAACTCTTAGGAAATTCCTGATGATGTGAAAGAGTGTAATTTTAGTACAGTGATCTGAATAGGGTCATATTGAAGTGGAGAGTAAATGTAGATTTATAGGTTGCAGTTATAAATTGACTGACAATGAACACTGAAAGAATCTAGACAAACAGATGACTTTTAATGGGTTATTAAGATCAAATGAAAGGAATTTTTTTCCAGGTTAATGTTTTCCTTACTCTACCTTCCTGTCAATTATCTCCTATCCTGGTCCAAGAACCTTCTGTGTAAGTAATAAAATACACTTCATAATCACTGGCATAGTTACAAGAGGGGCCTGTCTAAAACTTACATGTCAATTACGAATTTGTAACTCTATTTATTCATTCATGTAAATTAAATTCAAATACTTTTGAATTTAAGCATATAATATAAAAGTAGTAATGTGAATCAATAAAAGTAGAATATCCAATTTGACAGTTTTAGTACAAAATGTTTATGCAGGTATAGTACTATATCTAGTAAATTTGAGAATCTTTCCTGAATAAATATATGTAATTAAGCTATTTTAATATTTTAACTTCAGAATAATAAGCTTGCTTTGGTTTGATTAATCAGAGTCTGGCAGATTGGGTATAAGAATGTTTGCAAAATTATTTATCTCTTCCCTCTATTGGGGAGGATGTAGGATTGTTTAATGAGAAAGTTGGTCTCCATATCAGCTGACATCCTTCCAAGTTGTATTAAATTCCATGGTGATGAGAACCTGAAGTCTCCTGAACAAACTAAAAGAGAAAATACGTGACATATTGGAAATAGGGATAGGAAAAGCTAAGTCTATGTTGTTGTACAGAATCTTATGGAATCTGAATTAATTTTCATAATTTACTTCTAAATTAAATTTTTAAGAAGATGAAATCTTTTTTATTGTTAATAATGACTCTTGGAAGAGATTTTAATCTTGAACACATTTTTAGAGTAGTGTTTAAATTTTGGTTATTCACTGTAATTCCGCCATTATAAATACAAGGAAATATCATTGAAAATTTTATCATCAGTTGTTGACTTAGGAAAAATATATTTTTCCTTTTTTTTAACTATGAAGCAACATTATGGTTATATAAATAAACTACTCACATTGCTGCCTCCCTTAAACAACTGTTAGAATCATTCCATGTCCCTTCTGATTTTTGCTATAAATATTCTTATATAGACTTGTTAATGACTTTATAATTTTCTCTTGTACAGAAATACTGATTTATATTTCCCACTTTTCCTAAAACCAGACATTTAAGTGATTACAACTTTTTCTGTTCAAAATAGCAGTTCTATTATTGAATATCATTATGATTATACATTTTTATTCTTTGTTTCCTTTAGGATAAATTTCAGGAGTAGGTTTACTTGGTCAAAGAATTGGAACCATATATTAGTTGGTTTTATGTGTATAATACATATATTAGCTGTATATTTATATTGGTTACATGCATAGTATAATTTATATATTAGCTATTTTATGCAAGATCATACACCTAGAAAGTGACAGAACTAGGACTACAGCCAGGCGGTCTGTACTGGTCAGTAGATACTGTGTTCTTGACCAGTCTGCTGTGCTACTGGCTTGAGAGATCTAGAATTCTGTCTTAATGTATTCCTAATGCCACATCACTAATCTTTGTCATAAAAGTAATACACAAAGTAGTTCATCTATCAAAATTATAGCAAGAGTCTCCTCTATGTTTGACACTATATTGGGGATTCAAGAAAGAATAGGATATAGACCTTGCCTTAAAAGGCTATAAACCAAGTGGGAGAAAGGAACAGATATGTAAGAAAGTAACTGTGATACGATGTAATGAATTATATAATTAGGATGTTATAGGAAGACAAAGAAGGGAATGATCAATGCAACTGGAGGAGGGAGCTTAGTGTAAAGAGGCTTCTAAGTAGGGTTGGGTTTGTTTAGATGGCTAGGTCAGATCCTTGGAAACCAGATAGCAGAGAAAGCAATAAAGAGCCTACACATGTACTGAGGGAGTCAGAAGGCCATAAAGGCTCTGTAGGACTTTAGAGAAAATGGGGCTTTCTGAGCAAATTTTATTAGGACGTGGGACCTGAGCTTCAAAGACAAGCTTTGAAAGTTAAACTTGGACTGAGTAGAGATTGAGAACTCCAAAGGTTTACTTCTCAGGAGATGCTTGTTTAACATTTGACTGGGGGGGGGTAAGGAGTGGATGAGACCTGCGACCATTCTTACATTCCCTGAATTGTAAGACTCAGAGATGATAGTCTTATCTTTTGCCCAGAAACATATTTTACATTACAAAGCATAAGAACCCAAGATCTTCCCTAGAACAGTGTTCATACGCGGGATAGGTTCCCCCTCCACACACACAACACCCCCCCCCACCCCCATCCCCACCCCACTGCCAACCCCTTCTCTTCACACCTTCCCTGATCTCCAGAGGGAAGGAGATCTACTACACAGGCTTCCCACAGTCTTATATTTAGGGCTCATTCCTATTGTTGCTATAACAAATTACCACAAACTTGGTGACTAAAAACAACACAAATGTATTATCTTAAAACTCTGGGGGTCAAAAATCTGAAATGGTTCCACTGAATTAAACTCAAAGTGTTGGCAGAGTTATATTCCTTCTGCATGCTCTTGGGTAGAATCCCTTACCTTACCTTTTCCAGTTTCTAAAAGCTGCCTGCACTTCTTGGTTTGTGGCCCCTTCCACTGTTTTTAAAGACAGCAGCATAGCATCTTCCAACATCTCTGATTCTGACCCTCCTGTCTTTCTCCTCTAAGGATTCATAATTACATTGGGCCCACCTGGATACTAGGATACTCTCCCAATGTCAAAAACCTTAATTTAATCATATCTGTGAAGTCCCTTTTACTGTATAAGGTAACATATTCACAGGTCCCGGGGATTAGGACATAGACCTCCTTGGGGTGGAGATACTAGTCTGCTGGTCACATTGCCCTGCAGCGCAGACCCCAGTGCATGTACTGTATGATGTCTGCTCTGGCTCAGATTGCATTACCCCACTGGTAGGAGTTGGGGTATGAGGGACTAGTTACTATAATATTTCAGTTGTTCCTGCTTCAGAGACTTCATGTTTTACTTTCAGGATGACTCAAATGAATGTGGACCCTAGAAGCCTAATAGGCTAGTTTTGAAGGGCTGTATTGCTGAGCTGTCTAGAATCTTGAATGATAAAAGCAGGAGATATCCAGAGTTGTTCTAAAAATCTGGAAACCACCTTAGGACGTCTTACTCAGCCATTTTCCTCATAAGAGCTTTCTAGCTTGGCTCATTCATTTAAGTTGAAGAGCTCATCCTAGTTCCTTTCTGGTCAGGGTTTTGTCTTTGTTTTTTCTTGTTCTAAACTAAAACTAACCTAAAAACAATTCAGATTTTAACTGAATTGTAACTAGGATTTAAGTGTTTGACTCTTCTGCTCCCTTCCCATTGCTCTTCTGCCCTTAGACATAGGAATGCAAGTAATACCAGCCCTCCATAGTAAATTGACTCATCTTTGAATATGGGACTGTATGCCCATTTCATAGTATATTTGTATTTTTTAGCGCAGGCTGACTGAATTATACTAGGTTTTATCCAACACATTTCCTATTATGGCCACTAAACTGGCTCAAATGTTAATCCACTGAGCCTAGCCCAAAAGATGTAGTGGATGCTAGGCACAGCTCAGATCTGGATCTGGCAGAAGTTAAGGCAGCTCATCTATAATCATTGGTAAGTTCTACCACCTTGAAATTAGATTGTGGTCTTCCAGAACTCACCTAGCTTACTGCCTTAAGAAGATATTACATTGTATAAATATATGCCTCTTCTTTCAAAGGCTATGGAAAACTCAGATAAATTTTTCCTAGATTTAACATTTACTTCCAGACTTAGGCATTGCTTGCTTCTCCTATATTGTCAGCATCCTTCTTAAGTAAATACGTACTCAAGAGAAATAAAATATAGCAGAGCAGTAACAACAAAAAAAATCACTGGGATATGTTTAATAATGTACCTAAGACATTTATGTTAATTGATATACTAGTCCGTTTTGCGGACAAGGCAGTGGCACCCCACTCCAGTACTCTTGCCTGGAAAATCCCATGGGCAGAGGAGCCTGGTGGGCTGCGGTCCATGGGGTTGCAAAGAGTCGGAGACGACCGAGTGACTTCACTTTCACTTTTCACTTTCACGCATTGGAGAAGGAAGTGGCAACCCCCTCCAGTGTTTTTGCCTGGGGAATCCCAGGGGCGGGGAGCCTGGTGGGCTGCCGTCTGTGGGGTCACACAGAATTGGACACAACTAAAGTGACTTAGCAGCAGCAGCAACAGTCCGTTATGTGGCCCTTTGGTTCCTTTCCATCTTCCTCCTTTCCCTTTTCTCTTCTCTTTCATTTTCCTTTTCCTTACCTTTCTTTTTTCTTTCTGTGCCTTTTTCTGTTTTATTAGCAAATACAGTGATGATAGTCAACTTTGGTGTTTTAGTAGTATTGTTCTAGAATGAAGTTTTTTTTACAATTGTAAGAATTAGTGGGGCTTCCCTGGTGGCTCAGTGGTAAAGAATCCACCTCCTAATGTAGAAGACACGCGTTTGATCCCTGATCTGGGAAGATCCCACATGCCAAAGAACAACTAAGCCCGTGTGCCACAGCTGCTGAGCCCATACTCTAGAGTGTGGGAGCTGCAGCTACTGAGCCCATGTGCCACAACTCCTGAAGCCCTCATGCAGGAGAAGCCACTGCAGCGAGGAGCCTGTGCACCGCTATTAGAGAGGAGCCCTCGCGCTCTGCAACTAGAGAAAAGCCCACACAGCAGCAAGGACCCAGCACAGGCGAAAAGAATTAGTCATTCAACCTATTGTGAAACAGTGCTTCAGTAGAAACTGGATTAGCAGCTTAGAAGTAGAGCTCTAAATGTATCTCCTGTGTATTATTTCCAGGTAGGAAAAAGCTGATTTTCATTCTTTACCATTTTAGGACCTTTCTTTTTGGTAGAGATGGAAATCCAAATAAACGGAACGTGCACAATGAAACATCTATGCATTTGTTGTGTATGGGACCTCAAATTATGATCTCAGAAGGAGCCCTTCATCCTCGCTTAGCACGCCCTGCAGAAGATGATTTTAGAAGAGCGGATTGTCTACAGATGATTTTAAGATGGAAAGGAGCAAAACTTGACCAAGGCGAATATGAGAGAGCAGCTATTGATGCTGTTGATAACAAAAAGAACACACCCCTGCACTATGCTGCTGCCTCAGGGATGAAAACCTGTGTAGAGGTAAAACTTTGGTGTGTTTGTTTGTTTTAGCATTCTGCATGGTAAAATCTGTGTCTTGGTAATGTGTAATAATCAGTATTTGTTTTACTTAGTTAATTTGACTAGTCATTTCTGTCTCTTGTTCTAAAAGAATTAGGAGCCCTTTTAGGGAAAACAAACCCACAAACATTCATCCTCAGAAATAAAATGAAATCAGAAGCAATTTAAAATTGACTAACATCCCTGAAGATAGCAGTCATCATACAAACACTGTCTTATTGAGAGTAATACTTTTGGTATCAAAAGTTTCACTTGTCACTGATTTTAGACTCCAGTTTATAGAATGTATACATATGGCAAATCTTGACAAGTGGGACGATTACCTATGTCATCTAGCATTGATCAGTTCCCTGAGCATGTGAGCTTCCCAGGTGGCTCAGCAGTAAACGAAGCCGCCTGCAGTGACGGAGACCTGGGTTCCATCCCTGGGCGGGAAGGTCCCCTGGAGAAGGATTGGGAAACGCACTCTGGTGTTCTTGCCTGGGAAATCCCATGGATAAAAGAAGCTATAGTCTGACAGGCTATAATCCATGGGGTTGCAGAGTTGGACACAACTTATTGACTAAACAAGAAGCAGCAGCAAGGGATAAATATTAATTAATATATTTATTGGGGCTTTAAAAAATGTGTATATTAAAATGTGCTAGGTTTTTTCTGTGTAATTTGCACCGAAATACCTGAGTACCTTGTATTTTAATTTTTCCATCTATGTTTTTCATATATATATATGTTTATATATATATATTTGTATATATATAAATATTTATATATTTATATATATAAACATATATATATATATGTTTATATATAGATAGATATTTGTATAAATATCTAACAACAGGCTTAGATAAAATCAGCCATGTAGTATAAGGTCTTAACTAAGCTAAGAAATCATTATTCTTTATACTGTCCTTGCTGCTATACAGCTATATTCTCTCAGCTATATACAAGTCAATCCATACATAACTCTTAGAAGTTCTTTTGCGTAAATATATTTAAGTTCAGTGGGGAGCATTATAAATTGAATCAGAGTATCCATTTACCAGAAATGTAGGACTTGATTAGAAAAGTAGTTTTCCAGATTAAATATATGCTAATAAGATTAAAAATGTATATCTGAAAATTTAGTATTTCCTTAATGTTATGATGTGTATAAACTTATACTTCTAAACTGGTAAATATACAAAAATCCATGAAAGTTCTCCATTTTCTTACTCATGTTAAAAGATTATGGCCATTTATATGACTTCTTTAGTGTATCTGAAATGTAAGTTGTTTTCAGCTTCTGAAAGCCTTCTGACCTGATCTTGTGTTTTTTACTCTTGTTTGTGATACTTGCTCATCTTTTAGAATCTTAGTCATTTCGGCTCTTGGAATTGTGTCACCTTTGCCCACTACTTAGTAAGTGGCAGTCATTTCGTTGGTTGGTTTAGTTGCTCAGTCGTGTCCAACTCTTGCAATCCAAGGACTGTAGCCCGCCAGGCTCATCTGCCCATAGTGTTCTCCAGGCAAGAACACTGAAGTGGGTTGCCATGTCCTTCTCCAAGGGATCTTCCCAACCCAGGGATCGAACCAGGGTCTCCTGCATTGCAGGCAGATTCTTTACCAGCTGAGCTATGAGGGAAGTCCAGTAACGGTCATTAGCTTAAAACTAATCTTAAGCTTTGATTTCTAACATTGATTCTCTTTGTGGTAGAAGGATGTCCTAGGACTTAGCATGGAAGGAGGCTATTGACAGAATTCCTGAGGCTTTTACACAAGTTTTTTTATATATTGTTCTACACCCACCTCTTATGAATGAATCACTGCTATAGTGACTTGTTGACAGGACTGCATCAGCATCATATTAATAATTTTCAAGTGAGCTAGAGTAGAAAATAGCTTATTTTTGATAGTAATAATATTGCTCTTAAATTGCTGCTTTGTATCTTGCTTCCAAAAATTCTCTATAAGCATTGCTTTAGTAGTTGTTGATTCTGAAGTAAGTTTACAGTGATGGGCTTATTAAATTGTTTTCAAAAAGTGAATGTAGTATTTTTGGCAACACATTTATGTGTTTGTATATCACTTTTTATTCAGTGAAGAAAATTAATGCCAGATTTATTCTGACTGACAAGCCTGATGATTTGCTTGGTGTGAATGTGTATGTTTTACTGTTTGATCTTTCAGTATATGATACTATTCAAATCACACCATTTAATAACTATTTTCATTTTTCTGTCTTCAGAAGAGCTCTTTGACTTAATGTAAAAACCGTAAATAGAACCCTATAAATACCTTCATTGCATTTATTCTAGTTGTCATCAACAGATTTTAGCATGTCATTTTACCCATATAAAGCTATTTTAAATCTGTTTTATATACTTGACTGTATATTTACCCAGCCTCAGGTCTTAAATGACTTTTGATAATGTTTACTGTTAATTAAACACAAAGACTTTAATAAGAAAGTGTACATTAACTAATTTCCAGAGGCCTTATTGTGTTTTCTAGTTCTAGTACATAAAACAAATACATCGACATATATAACCTACTCTGTAACTGCACTTCTTAGAGTGTTAGTCCTTAAGTGTCTTTGTGTAAGGTCTTCCTTATATTCATAGTGCTCATTGGTACCAAGCATGATATACAGGGTTTGGGCTGAGTGAAAGAGTATTATCAGATATTTATTAGTTTTTTTCATTAAGCTATCATAGTATGGTGTAAAGAGCACTGGTATCTAGTCCTGGTCCTCACAGTGGTTATCTTAGACCTTCAGTCACTCAGCTTCTTTGAGATTATCAAAGAAGAGGAAACTATCCAACCATCCAAGAGGTAACTATCACAGTTATCTCAAAAGAACCCTTTAGCACTAATTTTTCTGTTAATCTGTGACTGTAGTAAAATATATCCCATTTTTAATGTCTGGCTTTAAAGGTTAAATTGATTATTTTATTCCATGGTTAAGGCCAAACTATTTTTTTTTAACTCTTAAAGATTTATTTACAAATCTCTATGGAAATAGGTCTTTTCTAGCTATTGAAGATATTTTTTTCTGTGTTTATTTAAGAACGGAGTTGATAAAGTCAACATTGGGCAATTTCGTATGTGCATTTAAACACATAGATTCTTGTGGCTCATTATTTTGAACCATTTAAATAAAATGTTTGTAACTTCCCCTTCTCTCTGTAATAATTATGTTCTGTAGTAAGCTAAAGGGGCACACACATGTACATACACAGAACATAAGAAACCTCTTAATCATAGTCTTTTTAGAAACTTGCATGTGTGAAGGCATCAGTGGCTAAATATAAGATATAGATATACCGATCTATCTACACACACACACACGCGCGCGCGCGCACGCACATACATGTATATGGAGAGCGCACCCTGAAGTTTCTCACGCTGTATTACTGCCTAGCTGATTTCCTCATAAGGACTTTCCAACAGTCTCTGAAATTCAGTGTTTACAAAACTACTCAAGCTTCTCTATCCACTGGCTCCTCTTCTGGACTGCCTGTTCCTATTAATGATTCTACCATTACCACCATATCTACGCTTGATACCTGGAGCTATCTTGGCAGTGTTTTTGTTTTATTTTGTTTTTTTGTGTGTCAAACTCATGCCACTAATTTGCAGAATATAGCTCTTCCTTGCCTATTTTGGCCAGCCCCTTCTTTTTATCTCTACTGGGCACCTTCTAACAACAGATGCTTATTTATGCTTATATCAAATCCTACTTTTTCCTTAAGTTGGAAAATTTGAAGTTTGACTAATTAATCATTCAGATTATTTATGAGATAAAACTAACACAAGAGTAGACTGCAGTTGTTTGAAAATTAGAAACGCTTATATGTTGAACATTTATGAATGCAAATTAAAGTCCCTTTCATTCTAATTTTTTCATATTTCAAAGAATCATTACAAGGTTAGGCAAATATTTTTGTGTGAAAGCCCAGGTAGTGTATATTTAATTTAAAAATTTTTTTATAATTTTATTTATTTTTGGCTTTGCTAGGGCTTCATTGCCACGTGGGGTCTTTCTATAGTTGAGGCGAGCCGGGGTTACTCTTCATTATGGTGCATGGGCTTCTTGAGGGGGAGCACAGGCTCTAGACGCATGTTCAGTAGCAGCATGCAGGCTCAGTAGTTGCAGGGTGCGGGCTCTAGGGCACACAGGCTTCAATAGTTGCATCACGCAGCCTCAGAGGTTGCGGTGTGCGGGCTCTAGGGCACACAGGCTTCAGTAGTTGCGGCACGCAGCCTCAGAAGTTGCGGTGTGCAGGCTCTAGGGAACACAGGCTTCAATAGTTGCACCACACAGCCTCAGAGGTTGCGGTGTGCGGGCTCCAGGGCACACAGGCTTCAGTAGTTGCGGCACGCAGCCTCAGAAGTTGCAGTGTGCGGGCTCTAGGGCACACAGGCTTCAATAGTTGCATCACACAGCCTCAGAGGTTGCAGTGTGCAGGCTCTAGGGAACACAGGCTTCAATAGTTGCGGCACACAGGCTCAGAAGTTGCGGGGTGTGGGCTCTAGGGCACACAGGCTTCAGTAGTTGCGGCACACAGCCTCAGAAGTTGCGGGGTGTGGGCTCTAGGGCACCCAGGCTTCAGTAGTTGTGGCACGCAGCCTCAGAAGTTGCGGGGTGTGGGCTCTAGGGCACCCAGGCTTCAGTAGTTGCGGCACGCAGCCTCAGAAGTTGCGGGGTGCGAGCTCTAGGGCACCCAGGCTTCAGTAGTTGCGGCACGCAGCCTCAGAAGTTGTGGGGTGTGGGCTCTAGGGCACCCAGGCTTCAGTAGTTGCAGCACACAGGCCTGAGAGCACAGTGGGCTTCAGAAGTTACACCTTATTGCAGCTCGTGGGCTCAGTTACTCCATGGCATGTAGAATCTTCTCCGACCAGGGATCAAGTCCATGTTCCCTGCATTGGCAGGTGGATTTTTATCCACTGTGCCACCAGGTAAATCCCCAGATAGTAAC